GGGGAATTTCTTTACGTCGCTCGCAACTGCACAAGGTCATTACGGGCGCGCGGGACACATTAAACATTTTCAGATGGCAGGAAGTTTTGAAATTTGCCCGGGTGGCAGCAGAAGCCTACGCTTATAAACCGATTTTAGACCACCAAGTGGTGTTTAACGTGCGCATCTTCCACATGGGACCTCCGAGATTTTTCGCCCTTGTCCGAGAAGGCTAGGTGTAGATCTTTGCCACAAGAAGATCAGGGGTGTGGCAGAAAGACAGCAGTAAGAAGGAGCCAGGGAGTAGCAGTAGAAAGGCTGCAGAAAGAGTCAGGAGCCCAGAGAGAATCTACTATAAAGAGAGAAGGAGAATTGCATAGTCTTAGCCAGAAAAAAAAGTTCCCACACCGGGAATCGAACCCGGGCCGCCTGGGTGAAAGCCAGGAATCCTAACCACTAGACCATATGGGAAGTTAGTAAATATCATTCAGAAAAGACTTATAATATACAACAATGTAATATGAAAAGTTCTTCGAAGCACGTCCGTCTTTCGAGAATGTTTCACGAGAACAGCTGCTGCCGCTCTTGCAGAATCGACTTCCCAAACCTGTTGTGCTGAAATCCGCTCTCATCTCCTACACCTTGCCAATATTATGCTAGGGTGATACAAAAATTACAAAACACCCAAAGCATACTCCAGCATTTCCTTTCTACACACACACACACACACACACACACACACACACACACACACACACACACAAAACATTAAGGTGAAAGATGGTAAATTTCTTTAAACTATTTTGAATAGACAATTGTCACAAGAAGACAGAATTAACAAATCAGTAATGGAAGAATAAATAGGTTGTTTCTTCATTGACATGAATTGACATTTCTGTGTTAGAATTTTTGTTTCGATAAGCCCTTAACTTACATAATATTATTAATATCTGTAGGTCTACTAATTCATGACTTCAGTTTATCTTTAGGGAGGTATGATGTCTGGCATTTATAACGTAAGATACATGTGTTGTTATTTTGTTTGAAACACAAACTAAGCCTCCTTTCGTTTTTAAATGGGTGCGCAATGGTAGCCTACAGCAATAAAAGTGCATTTGCAAAGGACGAAGGGGACCAATAAATGTTGCGCTGATCACTGAGCTCCATGTGGCCGAATGGCCAATACCGCTGTTTTCATGGAGTAATTGGGACCAAGCCAAGGCTTCCACGTGATACCATCGTAGAGTTTCTCTGGTATTTTGCCTCCCTGGTAGTATCTGAAATGAAGTACGTAATTCATGACAATGTGTTGCATTCACCTTAATGTAAAGGGAAAGATGTAATGAAATAAAGAATTATTTATATTTATATTTCAATGATTATTTCAAGGCTTTTGATAAAGCCGCTCACAACAGAACTCCATACTTAAACCGATTGAAAGGATTTGTGAATTATTAGAACTTTGTTGGGGGACCAGCTATGCTCCTGTGTGAACTGAGGGGTGACTCAGTGAAAAAGATGAAAAGATGAGGTCGATAATCCTGTGTTATGTCAACAGACCTACATGTAGTAGATGCCCATTGAAACAATCTCTAGCAAATATAGATGAAAGTATCAATCTCAATCAAAGAAAAAAACAAACAAGACACAAACAAACGGACATCAGATATAATGCTGACTGCAGCTTTAACTGCAGGATCAGAACATGACCTTCTCTTGCATTTACTTCACGATGTCGTTGTGACTGAAAACGAACGTATAACGCATGGTAGAAATTTGGTCATATACAGTACGTATCTAATTTTATTATAATTTTTTTTTAAATCAAGAGGTAAATTTTAAAATTTGTAATATTAATATCATAAGCAAAGGTGAACAGACCAAACGTTCAAACGTCTAGAATCTAGAAAATTGCGTCCGATGACAACTGTATCACCGAAATGAGACGGAGAATTGCAATGGTTGAAGAAAGTTTCAATAATTGAAATATAATCCAATCTTGAAGAATAAAAGAATATCACTGACACAAAACTACAGGGTTTTTTAACTCCCCAAGGTGGTTAATATTATTATGCACGGCTGCAAAAACTGGACAATTATAGTGAAAATAAACTAGAGGTACAGAAATGTGGGTTCTTACGAGTCTGTTGAGAATTTCGTGGAACAAAAAGAAGTCAAGTGAGGGAGATTTTTTTGTTGTCATGTAAAAAAAAAAGGCAGAGATGGACAAACAAAAAAAAGATGGGTTACAGGAAAAGATAAGGGAGCTATAGTTGTAGGTGTCTGTCCGAGCAAAGAATGAATTTACAACCCATGGCCATCGATGTCTGCTTCAGTTCTGACACTTGAGGAAGATGATTGTGTACAAATCAAAATTGGAAGGTAACGGAACGTTGTGCAGTTATATTATTAGGTCGTCCGGTTCCTTGGATCCACATTACACCGGCCACTTTAATTTTTAATATAGGCACTTTTTATAGTTGGACCAATTTGCCGAGGTGGAGTATACCGTATATGTAATGCAATGCTCGGGGTAACTCTGCCTAGTAGATGAGTAGAAGTACAACAAGTAGGCCTAATGTGATACTGTGGCACTCTGTTTCAATTACACAAGGAGCAAATCACTCGACTGCAGGACTAGAAGGCTAAAGGAGTCGCTGTTGTGATAGCTTTTATGCATGTCTTCAACTGAATGTAATACATGTACACGACTATAGAATATCACTTACTTTAACATTTTAGCTTCTTCTCACTGCCTCTAAGTTATAAGATGGGGGCTCTCGTGGCCTAGAGGTTAAGGTGTTGGCCTCTCATTCAAAAGGTCCCGGTTCGAATCCGGGTAGCGACCGAAAATTTTTTTTCTCTAAATGTGTCTCCTTTCACCTCATTTCCTGCTCTCTTGCAATATTCTGTCGTCTGCTTTCGTCTCCTCTTTCTGCCCTCACCTCCTTTGCCCCTTCCTCTGGGCTCCTGATTCTTTCTGCAGCCTTTCTACTGCTACTCCTTCGCTTTTTCTTACTGCTGTCTTTCAGCAACACCCCTGATCTTCTGGTAGGAAAGATCTACACCTAGCCTTCTCGAACAAGGGCGAAAAATCTCGGAGGGTCCGTGTGCAAGTTGCGCACGTTAAAGATCCCCTGGTGGTCTAAATTCGATAAGAGTAGGCTTCGGCGCCACCCGGGCAAATTTCAAAATTTCCTACCAACTGAAAATACTAGGTGTGTCCCGCGCGCTCATATGACCTTATGCAGTTGCGAGCGCCGTAAAACACTTTACAAAAACAAAACAAACATAAGTTATAAGATTGCTACGGTACTGTAACACTTGTAGTAGATCTTCAATTTCAACTGGGCGTGGTACAAAACTGTAGAATATAACTCCAATACTTTAATTTTGTCTCACCTGCCCATAAGATTGCTACTGTAAAACTAGCACTGCAGTAAGTCTTCAACTGAAGGTAATACGAAACTGTAGAAAATCACTTCAACTCTTTATGTCTCATCTGTCCATACGATTGCTACTGTAACCTTTGTAGTAAGTCTTCAACTGGAGGTAATACGAGACTGTAGAATACCACTTCAACACTTGAGTTTCTCACCTGCCCATAAGATTGCTACTGTAACATTTGTAGTACCAGCCTGCCCCGTGGAAACGTTTGGCACAGCTGCCTCCCATCTCCGTCTTCAGGGCGTCATTGTCCGCGTCATAGGTGCTGAATTTCATGCCACTGTGTTTGTTCAGACCATCCCCTGCGTCGCCTGGTGGGATCAACACCGTTAGAGAAAAAAAGTTAGCAATGACAGGGATAGAGAATGTAACGTAAACGTGTACATCGAAAGAGAAAAAACAACAACCCGTGTACACATTGATAAAAGCGCGTAAGAAATCATAGAGGGAATCAAATGCAAAACTTTAATTGAGCAAGCAAGAAAATTTGAATAAGGTATAACCAAAGACGTTGTCTCTGACTCTGTATCATCTTTGTCATCGTCGTAATCGTTGCGATCACCACTGATCGGTAAAAAGACATGAATTCAACGCCCTTATTTTAAAACACTGCCAGTGTGCTTGGACTTGGAGACTAATAACCGATTTAACGCCAATCTACAATTACAGACCCTAATCAATAGCCCGCGAGGTGAACTCTAGTATTTTTCATGTAACCACCGAACAGCCCAGCTTTTGCGCTACGTATTCTGGATGAAATACAAAAAACAAAAAACAAAACAACAACAACAACAACAACAACAACAACAACAACAACAACAACAACAACAACACCGCAACAACAAAATTCACTCTTTGAAGCCTACTCAAAATACAGTCACGCCCGTGTAAGAGTGTAAGACGGCCAACCATTGTCAAGGAGAAAAGTGGCCGCATAAGACTGGTGACCGTCTTAGCCAGGACTGATCCAGATGAAGAAAACAAACCATTCTCATCATTCTGAGGCCCCAATCAAAAGTTACCGTATTGTTGTTGATTTTGTTGTTGTTGTTGGTGGTGGTGGTGGTGGTGGTAGTTTGTATTTTGTTTGTAAGTTTTATTTTGTTGCTGATTTTGCGCAAGGGTGACAATAAAACGAAATGTATCTGAAGAGGAAGACCGAGTGCCATGTTAAAACAAACACACGGGTCGCCACTCGTCACTACCACTCGGAGAACGAGCGACGCTTCTGTTGCAAGGTCATATTGTTACTTTGTCGCAGATTGGGTAAACAGTGATCACTCATCTCATTTACGATTTGTGTATGAGTTCTGGGCGGGGCTTATGGGGTATGGGGGATCACACGCTTACCTCATCAGCAGTTGAAAATTGGTACCTATTGGTCAACAGAGGGAGGGGCCTACGCAACATGATCGGTTGGAGGGACTACCTAACAACAATGACAGGTGATTGGATTATGACGGCTCGCCCACAACGCCAGGGGCGAATGCACATTTAAGACAAAACGTATTGGAGTCACTAAAGTGGCCGTCTAAGACAGATGTTATTGCTTAGTGTGATAGGGGTTGTGTGTTAAAATAATATTGTGGCCGCGGCCGCGTTGCACATGTGCCCGTTTTACACAGTTAAATTATATAGAAAAAAATGCAAGGGGGGAAATGAAAAGAGGCCGTTTGTGCAGGTGGTCGTCTTAGAGAGGTGGTCGTCAGGGCAGGTTCGACTGTAGTTGAAGAAGACTGAAAGCGTCAAGAGAGTGTGAATCAGGACCTATACGTTCTTATACTCTGACAGTCTGGATCAGGACCTTTCCAATCATTACTACGCTTACTTGCATTGTTGTTCAAAAGCTGTTTTTTTTTTTAATCAATTAATTAATTTGTAGTTTAATTTTGGACAAAAGATGTGGAAACTGACGATGAGTATCAGTCTGGCTTATCCGTTGATGAAAGAGAACCTTGTTTTCCCCTGATGATCTTCTTTCTTCATTGACCTGATGGATCACCAACCTTTCTATTTTAAAAAATACATTTTATTTTTAGCTTTGGATGAGAGCTACCAAACAGTGAAATTTAAGTAGGCTGACAGATCTGCTGTCACCGAACTACTTGGTGCACGCTAGATGCAGCATGCATCGATAACTCGCGTACTATAACAATAATATAGAGCCCATTATATATAATAGTGTAGGCGCTTTCTGTATGTCCTCGCGTTATTCGGTGTTCGTTATGGGTTAAACCTTTAGGTGGGACCAAAGTCAAAACGCAAACACTCTTCGAACGCTTCATATTATTATGTTAGTCATTTCCGCATTTGCAAAAAAAAAAGAAAGAAAAAAAGAAAGAAATCTACGAGTTCGGGTCATTCGCGAAATGTCAGTGTTTTTGAGCGTTATATCTACTACGTGTATATCTTGTCTTTAACTCTGTAACTCTCAGTCTTGTTGGGGGGGTTTTTCTTCTAATATATCTGTCTATTTCCCTCTCCCTTCCTCCTTCCCCCATAGCCCCC